GCATCTGAACAGCTCTGAGAGAACTTGTGACTGACCCAAGGTCACACCAGCAGCTGCATGTGCAGGTGTGGGAAATCAAACCCGGTTCTCTCAGATTAGAGTCCGCGCACTTAACCACTACACCAAACTGGCTCTCTTAAGCACACTCAACTTTCCACCAAGAGCAACGGGAAAGTTAAACAAGGCTTAAATCTCTCCCATTTAAACTGACAAATGTACACGTTTTGAGCTCTAGCTGGTTCACACCCCAAAGAGTTAAGCCCTGGCTTGGCAGAGACAGACTGTAGACTTAGCCTCCAAATTTTCTCTGCTCCACAAATGATGGTGCAGGGAACATACAGAAAGCCGCTGGTTGAGAAGTCGCTTAGCCAAGAGCTCCCTCTGCTGAGGAAACACCTGCATTACAGCCAGAACCATCCTTTATAAAACCAAGTTTTGAGTCCAGGGGCACCTTCAAGACCAACCAAGTTTAATTCTGGATATAAGCAGGGGTCATTTCCTGCAGGAGCGCACAGGAGCGGAGCTCCAGCAGTAAAGAGCCCAGGGGGCGGGCACATGCAACAAGCCCCACCCCCTGCTCCCAGAAGCCCTCAGTCAGAGCAAGAAGCAGCCCGGTAAGTTGCAGAGCTCCCCCCCCGCCCGCCCGCCCGGTCCAAAACAGTCCAGTGGCACCTTTAAGACCAAGTTTTATTCAGGTACAAGCTCTCCCTCCTCTGCGAGGACAGATCTGCACGTCCCCGCCCCCCAATAGCTGGCAATCCAAAAGAGTCCAGTGGAGCCTAACAGACGGTGGGTGTTGCCTTCTGACACACTTCTGGTGATGTCAGGGGGTGTGGGGCATATGCAAATAAGTTATGCTAATGAGTTATGCTAATGAGCTCCTGCACCTCTTTTTCTACGATATGACCCCTGGATATAAGCTTTCGCGTGCACGCACACTTTGTCAGATAGTATGCATGCACATGAAGGCTTATACCCAGAATTAAACTTGGTTGGCCTTAAAGGTGCCCCCACTGGACTCAGACTTCATTCTGCTGCTTCAGACCAACACGGCGACCCACCCTGAATATAGAGAGGCATGCACGGGACATTACAACTCGACGCTCCTTCTTTGGCTAACGTAGTGGCCGGGACTGATCTATCAAGGAAGAGGACTGTGTGAGGAGAGAAGGAAATATTCACCTTTCCCTTCCTGCCTGTTTTCCACTAGAAAGAGCCATCCCCCAAGTTGCTTTTATCCCCACCGCCGGGGAAAATGTAGGTACTTGTCAGTGGTTTCAGAGGGCAACTATGCTGCTTTACAGTAGAAGAGCTCGATTCGAATCCAGTACCCCCTTAGAGACCAACAAGATGTTGCGGTGATGAGCTTTCGAGAGTCATAGCCCCCTGCAGAATCCTGACTTGTATCTGTGTCAGACTCCCCACAGCATCAACAAAGTACACACTTGTAGAAAGGTTTTACTTTATTTGAAGCTATAGGTGCACAGACAGAATCACTGTTCAGAATGAGGGGGGTGTAACGAGCATGGCATGTTATAGTACATTCAAACCACTGAGGCCCAATTGCGGGGGTTCCCGCGCGTGCCATCGGGCCTGGGAGCAACCGCTTCTAGGCAACATATGTTATCTCTTTCTCACGGTATTCCGTGAGAGCCTCCAAGCAACTAACAAGCAGCAGCAACCACCTGTGGCCTTGAGAGATATAGATGTTTCGGCAGCCAAGCAATCAAGCGCACACAGAAAATAATAAAACAAAACATTGGCAGCTTGCTGACAATCTGACAAAGGGAGATTTGACTCTTGGAAGCTTATATCCACCAAAAAAAAAATTGGTCTCTAAGGTGTTGCTGGGCTCGAATCTAGGATCCTGTAAGTTGTCCCCACCAGGGGTAAAAGCCGCTCAGTGGCTTCCCCCCCAGAAACAAAATGCCAGGGGAGGACGGGGTCAAAACCCTCTCTTTCACCCATATATACATAACACGTACCATTCTCTTCCCTAAGAGGGCAATCCTGGACGTTGCAAAAGAAGAAAAAGGTTATTTCAGATGCATGTGTGAGCCAGTGCGGTGTGGTGGTTAGGAGTGTCGGACTAGCATTCTGGAAAACCCGGGTTCGAATCCCCGCTCGTGTCACAGAACTTCACTAGGTGACCCTGGGCCAGTCACACACCCTCTCAGCCTAACTTACCTTACAGGGTTGTTGTGAGGATAAAATGGAGGAGAGGCGAACGATATACGCTGCTTTGGGTCCCCGTTGCGGAGACAGGCAGGGTACGAATGAATTAAAAGGAAATGGTGCAGGGGGTTGGACTAGATGGCCCTGGGGGGTACCTTCAAACTCTATGATTCTATGATTCTAAATAAACCCAAAAAGAAACCATAACAGACGGACGATCCCCAAGAGTCGGGTTCGGCTTCTTGCACAGATAGCTCCTTAAAACCTCTCCCACCCACCATACCCGACTCGCCAAAACCCAGATGTCTGTGTGACGGGAAAGCTAAGTGATCGGTTATTACAATACGAATTGTTTCCTAGATCTTCAGACGTTACTGAGAAATGGCATCCCGTTCTGGAGTACACGTTAACACACGCATTACTTCCCGCGAGGTCTGCTTATCTAAAAGCTATTGATCACTCTTAGTACTACTGATTAGCTGCGAATGTTGTCTACCGATGTTTTCAAGTCAAGTTTGAAATATCCCCATAGGAATGGATTTCAGTACTATACACTTTCACCCACCACTCTGTTACTATTTCCTGTGCTTTCTGTACGCTAACTACTGTTAGGGATTGATTACTATTGTTTCTATTTCAATTCATTATTATATACTTTTATTGACATTGCCATGTTACTGCAACGTTCCTGCCGCATTGTTCCTGTAGTATATTGCACATAAAGGTAAAGGTAAAAGTTTCCCTTGCTCGAAAGCCAGTTGAATCAGACTCTAGCGGGCGGTGCTCATCTCTGTTTCCAAGCTGAAGAGCCAGCGCTGTCTGAAGATGTTTCCGTGGTCATGTGGCCGGCATGACTAAATGCCGAGGTGCACGGTACACTGTTACCTTCCCACCGAAGCGGTCCCTATTTGTCCACTTGCAATTTCTTGCTTTTGAACTGCTAGGTTGGCAGGAGCTGGGGCCAGAGACGGGAGCTCCCTCCGTCATGCGGCACACTCGGGTCTCGAACTGCCGAGCTACAGACCTTCCGGTCTGCAGCTCAGGGTCTTAACCTTTGAGCCACCATGGCCTTTAACTACTATTAGGGGTTAATTATTATGGTTTATGCTTATATTTTATTATATTGTATTGTGTTAACATTGTACTGTCATGTTACAGTGTGCCATATATCAAAGGAATCACTGATCACATGGGAAAACTTATGAAAAAACACAACCTACAAACAGTATTCAGACCCACCAGAAAAATACAACAGATGCTACGATCGGCAAAAGACAGAAGAGACCCCCTCACTTCTGCAGGAGTATACCGCATACCATGCAGTTGTGGACAAGTTTACATCGGGACCACACAGCGTAGCATTCAGACAAGAATAAAAGAACATGAAAGACACTGCAGACTTGGCCAACCTGAAAAACCAGCAATGGCTGAACAGAGCCTAACTCAAACAGGACACAGTATTTTGTTCCAAGACACTGAAAGGCTGGACAACACAGATTACACAGGGAGGCCATTGAAATTCATAAACATAAACACAATTTCAACAGGAAAGAAGAGAGTTTAAAAATAAATAGCTCATGGTTTCCTGTCCTGAAAAACACAAAAGGCTCCACATCTGACAATAGCACTACAGATAAGATTAGAATTCCAACAGCCAATCCACATGCAAAAGAACCTCCTCAGGAAACAGGAAACCTCCTCAGGAAACAATCTATATGCAAAAGAACCTCCTCAGGAAGCTCCTCCATTAGCATGTTCATAGGCTGGGGAATAATGACTCAGCCCTACCCCACCTTCCTGAGTAGAGATAGATTACCTGCCTACCATTTTTCTTCTCACCTTGACACAGAGAGTCCTCCATCTTTCTGTCTTATACCTCTGAGGATGCCAGTCAAAGCTACTGGTGAAACGTCAGGTTCTACAATGCCAAGACCACGGCCACACAACCCAGAAAATCTACAGCAACTAATCATGTTACAGTTACTTAATAAAAATGCTGAACTGCAGAAACCCAGATTCCAGGTCGCCCAGGCACCTAGAAATTTTATGGTGGCAGCCAGTATCTTCAGCAATTGTTTTATTGTAGAATATGCAACTGGGGAGGCAGGCGGGGGGAGAGCTGGGAGTTGCAGGTAACCCAAATGCCACGTTGGCGCCCTCTGCTGCTTGGCACACTCACAATGGAAAGTGGTATGCTCAACCACACATGGAAATGATTCTAACAAGGGGAGGAATGCCCAGACGCTATTAAGCCTAGGGACCAAATCAACACACCCACCCCATGAAGCTGAAAAGTGTCTGTGACGTCCTCCTTATTGGGGAGGACTAGTTTCACTTTAAAAGTTCTCTTTATTATGTTTAACTGGGTAGATTCTGCTGCCACCAGGAAATTTTAAGGATTTCCAAACCTTTATGCTTCTACAGTTGTTTTTTTTAGTTTGGTAGACCGAGTTCAAGGCTTACGAGGAACTATGTGGTCCTGAGAAGTATTTCATTCAGAGCTGGTATAAACTTAAATAAAAGAGGATTTATTGAAATAAATACTAAATAAGAGGGTGATACAATGTAACTAGTAATGTGTAAATGATGTACAATTTCTTTGGTATCACACTCAATCTTTTCCCTCACCGACAGGGATCTTTTAATGTAACTTTGTAACACTTGTTTATCTCAATGCCATATATGTTCACTGTTTCTCTCCAGTCTGTTATGACACTCAGACTTTCCTTTAACTTTACTTCACTTAACCAAACTTTTAAAGAGACACACACACAAAAAACAAGGAATCGTTACAGTGTCATTTTAGCCCGGGGGCCCTCACTCACGGAGATCTTGGTGAAGACAGACAGCAAGAGCGAAAGGACCGAAAGATACACCCGGATCCTCTCTCCGCCAAACCGCCTTTGGAGGTATTCTGGCATCGTGACAATCTGGGGGAGACAAACGGAGGAGAAATATTATCATTTAGTTCATCGATACCGCACTTTTCTTTCCCCAAGATGGAACCAAAGCGGTTTACGACAGTCTCCCCGTGTTTAGCCTCACAACATCCCTGCGAAGTAGGTTAAGGCTGAGCATGTGCGACTGGCCCAGGGTCATACAATCATGGAATCCTAAAGTTGGAAGGTATCCCCCAGGGCCATCTAGTCCAACCCCCTGCACAATGCAGGAAATTCACAAATACCCCCCCCCCACCAGAGTTCCCTCTAAGCTGTGTTAGTGTGAGCTAGTGTGAGTTCTTTAGCCTCCGGCTCACACATTTTTGTCTTAGTTCAGGAAGGATGGCTCCAGAGCAAACTAATTTATGCAGCAGCCTAATTGCTTGCTCACAACTTTAATGCCAGTCGCTCACAAAGCAGAATTTTTGCTCACAAGACTCCACAGCTTAGAGGGAGCATTGCCAGTGACCGCTGTTCCACGCCCAGAAGATGCAAAAACCCCTCCTAGATCTCCGACCAAACTGGCCTGGAGAACAATTGCTTCCAGACCCCAAAGCGGTGATCAGCATTTCCCTGGGCGTGTAAGAAAGGGCCACAAGAACTAAACACTGAGGCAACCCTCCCTGCCCTCCCTCTCATGGTCATCCAGCAGGTTTTCCCGGCAGAACAGGGATATGAACCTACCTCACAGGGCTGTTGTGAGGATAAAACAGAAAAGGAGAGAACAGTGTCAAGCCACTTTGGGTTCCCACTGGGGGGAGAAAGGTGGAATATAAATTAAGGAACTCAATCTGTCTTCAGACAGACGGCTGGAAAAAACACAGCTCTGCTTCCAGCGCCTTCTCTAGCGATTAACGGCAATAACCAGGGCTATTTTGGGGCAGGAACGCCCAGGAACAGAGTTCCGGCTGGCTCCCAAGTTGGCCACGCCCAGCAGGAACTCATTAGCATAATAGGCCACACCCAACAGCAGCAACTCATTAGGATTGGCTACAATTAGGGGTGTGGCCTAACATGCAAAAAGCCCTGGGTTTTGACAACATACAAGGTAAAGAGAATAAGAAGCAAAAGGTGGGTGTGGCTGGATGACCACACTTCTGGTAACGTGGGGTGTGTGGCCTAATATGCTAATGAGCTGTGCTGTCAGGGGTGTGCCCCAATATGCTAATTAGTTCCTGCTGTTGGGTGTGGCCTATTATGCTAATGAGTTCCTGCTGGGCTTTTTCTACAAAAAGAGACACACACACAAAAAAACCCCAAGGAATCGTTACAGTGCTATTCAGAAAGGCCCGAGTGGAACGTGTTCCTCAGCTGCCGGCAGTATCCCACAAGGAAGGAGACAGCCACAACATCCAACAGAGCTGCAAGTAAAACACAGAATGCATCATTAACGGACGGCCATGCAACAGGTACAGGCCCGCTGTTTTCACTTACCCCTGAGGAGATGTAGACGGGAACATACACCCAAGCCAGCGCCAGGAGTACGTAGGTGGCCTGAAAGAACCCGGGAAGAAAGCTAAGCACACAAGTTCAGGCCCTGCACACGCGAAGTTGTCTTATACTGGATCAGGCCCTCGGTCCATCAAGGTCAGAACTGTCTACTCAGACTGGCAGCCGCTCTCCAGGGTCTCCGGCAGGGAAAGGTCTTTCACATCACCCACTACCTGGATCTTGGCCCCTCTTGACAGCTCTCCAGGGTCTCAGGCGGAGGTCTTTCCCATCACCTCCTGCCTGGTCCTTTTTAACTGGAGATGCCGGGGACTGAACCTGGGACCTTCTGCACACCAAGCAGAGGCTCTTCCACTGAGCCACGGCCCCTCTTGACAGCTCTCCAGGGTCTCAGGCGGAGGTCTTTCCCATCACCTCCTGCCTGGTCCTTTTTAACTGGAGATGCCGGGGACTGAACCTGGGACCTTCTGCATGCCAAGCAGAGGCTCTTCCACTGAGCCATGGCCCCTCTTGACAGCTCTCCAGGGTCTCAGGAGGAGGTCTTTCCCATCACCTCCTGCCTGGTCCTTTTTAATTGGAGATGCCGGGGATTGAACCTGGGACCTTCTGCATGCCAAGCAGAGGCTCTTCCACTGAGCCACGGCCCCTCTTGACAGCTCTCCAGGGTCTCAGGCAGAGGTCTTTCCCATCACCTCCTGCCTGGTCCTTTTTAACTGGAGATGCCGGGGATTGAATCTGGGACCTCCTGCATGCCGAGCAGAGGCTCTTCCTCTGAGCCACAGCCCCTCTTTACAGCTCTCCAGGGTCTCAGGTGGAGGTCTTTTCCCTCACCTCCTGCCTGGTCCTTTTTAACTGGAGATGCCGGGGATTGAACCCGGGACCTTCTACGTGCCAAGCAGAGGCTCTTCCACTGAGCCACAGCCCCTCCCCTGTGGCCATACCATGTTTTGAATTTGGGGGACTGCAGGAACACATACCAGTCCCCCAAGTGCTCCCATGTATCTAGTCAGTGTGGTGGCCAGAAATGGTGCCGGTGGGCACGAAGAAATGAACCCAATGCAGTGAACATTTAAATGAACACCCCAAGAGCAACTTTGAGAGTAATCCAGTTATCAAGAGAGATTATTCATTTCGTGGGTTTTTTTTTTAAATCAACAGAGAGGTTGAAAAAAGGTTCGAAGAGCTGATTTGCTCCTCGAAACACAAAGCGGCCCTTACGTTCCATTCGAAGCCGGCCACGGCTATCCCCCCTGCGGCCCCGGTGCCGGCCAGCCCGATGAAAAGGCCGGATCCTTCACTGCTGGCGAAGAGAGACGCTCCGATCTGCAAGGCAACAGCCAATTATTTGTTATTTATTTATTATTATTATTTTCCATTTGTATCCCGCCTTGCCGGTGCAGACTGGCTCAAGGCGACTTACAGAGATTAAAATATAATAAAATACAATTTAAAAAAATTCAATAAGAACAATTAGATAAAGTGCTAGTGTAAACCGATGGCGGGAATTTCTGTAAATGGTCCGATGGAGAGGCCATATCCGGCGTTGTTATATAGGGCTGTGGTGTATTCAGTTTGCAGTGGTCAGTGGCGGCTCCTAATCGAAAGCCTGGTGGAAGAGCTCCGTCTTGCAGGCCCTGCGGAACTGTAAAAGGTCCCGCAGGTCCCTGATATCCTCCAGGAGCTTATTCCATCAGTACGGAGCCACCACCGAGAAAGCCCTGGCCCTCGTAACGGCCAGTCTGGCATCTTTCAGGCCAGCATCCCAATTAGCATCCCAAACCTTCATACGTTTCATGTTTGATTTCGGACAAGGTTTTCATTCAAGCAGCACACCCGTCCGGACCAATGCTCCCTCTAAGCTGTGGAGTCTTGTGAGCAAAAATCCTACTTTGTGAACTACTGGCATTCAAGTCGTGAGCAGGTGATTTGGCTACTGCATCAATCAGTTTGCTCTGGAGCCATCTTTCCTGAGCTAAGACAAAAACGCGTGAGCCGGAGGCTAAGAAACTGTGAGCTGGCTCACACTAACTCAGGCTTAGAGGGAACACTGGTCCGGGGCCCAATTCGGTATCAAAAGGGGAAGGTGGCCCCCACTTACCGGCCACCACGCAATGTTCTTCCCGGCAAGGAAGTAACCGCTCAACGTGTTCCTGTTGACCCTACAGGAAGCCTAAGGAGAAAGACAATTGGGGATGACAGTTCGTGGACGGGGTAGGACCTCAGTGGAGTGTATTGTGATAGAACCTTAAAGACTAATGCTATTTGTGGCAGGGGAGGCGATCCAACAGAGCTAGTTTGGTGTAGTGGTTAGGAGCGCAGGCTCTAATCTGGGAGAACCGGGTTTGATTCCCCACTCCTCCACTTGCACCTGCTGGATGACCTTGGGCATGCCGTAGTTCTGTCAGAGCTGTCCTTGGAAAAGAGCATTTTCTGTCAAGAGCTCTCTCAGCCCCGCCTACCTCACAGGGGGTGTTGTGGGGAGGGGAGGGGAAGGGAAAGGAGTTTGTAAGCCACTCTGAGACTCCTTCGAGTAATGAAGGGCGGGGTATAAATCCAATCTCCTCCTCCTCCTCCTCCTCCTCCTCCTCCT